CACACTAAATATAAGTACCATTATCATAACAAAAAAACAAGACAAATACCTGTTTTACAGAGTATAAACTAAATATAATTCATACACTTCAATAATAATAGCACAACATGATGGGGTCAGTGTGGAGAAACTGATGAAAGTGAGGATTGATGATAAGCAGCCTCAGCCCATGAATTAATCAAATCAGGAATACCTCCAACTTCAGGGCAAAGAAGTTGGCTGGATGAAGGGTTGAAAGAATGGAAAAAAGAAGCCAAACTTGGGATAGCAGAGTATCCCTAACCAACAATCTCAAGTAACAAGGAGGTGAGTGAGCAGAAAAGGTAGAAGGGGAATAGCCACAGTGGACAAGTGAAGGGAAAGAGAAACACCCACAAAGTGTACTGGGGCATGGTGAAGTGCCTCATATTTGAGGTGTACAGAGGATAGGTAAAGAAGTATAGTAAAAAGGATCAAGGAAAGAAAGGAGTATTGGGTATTGGATGGCAACACTGATGCCAAAAGCCCCCCCCCCCCAAAAAAAAGGCAAGGGCATTCCCTAGTATGAGAATGTTGAAATGGGATGCAGAATGACGAAAAATCGAGGAAAAAATAATCAGGCAGATGGTAATGGAGAGGTTTAATGTTGCAGATACAGAAGTGGTCCAGGAATGGTAAATAACATGAGTTAGGGTTAAGATTAAGAAGGAGGGAACAAGCAGAAGAATATAACACAAGGGGGAAGGAAAAGAATGATGCATATCTGAGAAATCAAGGCTGAAGAACGCGAGAAAGTTTAAGGTTCTCTTCAACACGGAGAGAAGTTCCCAAAGCCTAAGCAGGTGAAGGAACTATCAAATTCATCCTCCTCACCCCCCCCCCCCAAATGAGGGGAAGGAATGCCTGAAGAAGTGACTGGAGGCTGAAGTACCTGGCAGCATAAGGAAACCTACTCTCCTATCCACAACAGCTGATACATCATCCCTAAGGAGCATGTCTCCACAAGTCATCATTATTACACAATGTATGTGAGGAAATTAGCCACTCACAGAAGCTGTAGAAGATGGTACATGAACCAGTGTTCATAGTTTAAAGAAATAAAGAAGGAAATTAAGTTCCTTCAACATCGCAAATCTCATTAAATTGACAAAGAAAAAAACATCTAATGTGTACAGTGCCGAGGAATAGAATGAAGATCACGAGTGCAAAAGTATAGAGGAAGCTAGTATGCAGGGAGATTTTGTTGCCCCCCCTAATGGTGAAGGGCTTTTGTTGCATAATAATGCCACTATACAATAGTGCAAATCACGAGAAATCTCGCAAGTTTAGGTGGGAGTTGCCAAGAGGTTAACAGCATGCAAATCTCTAAGACAGATGCACGGGGAAAATAGCTTTCTGTGTTAAAAGGTGTGTATCGCCTCAGAAGTAAGTGAACTCAACATTTTTAAAGGGCCCATGGAGGGCAAGACACTTGGACGACAACCCAGAAAATATCAAAAAGGTCCTCAGACTTACTAATGAGTTACCAGGAGACCCATGCTTTATTAATTTATCAATGATTTGAAGAGATTATACAATTTTCATATGGTGTTTTAACTTGTTCTTTAAACAAATCTGTGTAACACAACCCTGATATATTGCCAAGTATCAGTGTGATAGTCATGTAATTAAAACAGAAATATTTCAGAAATTCAAGAGTTTTTGGGTGGTATTATGAATTAAATTCAACAACCATGAGAGAAAAGCATAACTAACAGTCCGGTACATGAATTATGGAAATGGATTCTGATTTCTTTGGATATCAAATGATGCTAAAACTGTTATTATAAGTTGTACAAATAATGATTGAATATTGGCAAAATTAATAGCAAAAAAGTATACATCTCAAAAAAATACTACCAGGTTATAAACTGTAAAAAACCAGAATAATCTGCATTACACTAGATACATAGCACCATTTATCTTAAGAACTTGGGCAAGTTCCACAATAAATTTTACATGAAAAAAAAAAAGATTAAGATTAAACTTAATGGTAGTGCATTGCAGCATGTGTAGCTACCAAGTTACATAAATGTTGTTCTAAGTTAGTTACTAAGATTAGCTTACAACTTGTCAGTAAAATTGGAAAAGAAATAAATTAGAATTATGACTTATAGTTTACTCCACTTAGGTGATATAAACTTATTGTTTAATAAGTATATATATTTAAAAATGTATGACTGCTAAAATGAGTATGCTGCACCCTCTGTTTTGGTATATGTACAAATACTATTACCGTCAAGAGTGTAAAAATATTACCATCTATATCAATGTTTGTCGAAGCAAGGTAAACTAACCTAGAATACAATCCAACCTAAAGTTCCAAGACCTATTCTTATGCTATAAAAGCATCTATAAAAAACAAAAAAACTTGCACTTTCATGGAGAAATAGCTATTGATCAATTACTGGACAAATAGTTGTGATTCAACTGCAATTAGTATTTTCTTTTTTGGTAAACAAATTGGTAAGCAATGTACTATTACAACAACATACAAATAAAAACTACTTCTTAAACATAGAAGAGAGGAATCAACAAATAAAATAGTATTAAAATTTGTAAATATTGCCAAGTTAGGTAAAAAAAAACTGAAGCAAAAGTTTCTCAGCTTGTATATATATAACACCTGTGTTATTATATAACTTCTGATCAAAGCAAGCTATGTACACAGATCAGAAAATAACCTTGTAATTAATGCTTTAGTTTTTACTATCACATTGTTCTGTTAACAATTTGTCTAAAATGTATTGCATTCTTTGTTCAGTAATCCAAAACTGTATTACAATCAGAGTTTAAAAATGATATATTCCTTAAATTACATGTACATTTATCAAAAAGGCCTCAATTTCCTTTAGGCTGAAACCCTGAAATTATAGAATTGTGAGTATAATTAGGGGAACAATGTTGCATAAAATTACTAGTGTTACTATGCTCTCTTTAGTTTTCAATTTTTTACAAGCTAATAATTCCTTCTGATGATTTTACTTTTGGCAATTATTTTTTTAAACTGTGTGGAAATGCAATTTTAAACATTTAATGTGCAAAACTTCAGTTACTAAGATGTTAAATATAACTGCCCTATGAAACATTAGACAAATTTCTACCTTTCTATTCACACACTCACAAAAAACAAAACAAAAAACTGAACAGCTGTTCTATCTTACACACATTCTGAGGGTACTAATAATAATAATGGCAAGTTGTAAAGCCTAAAAGTTAATCCAACTTTAAAAGCTAAATCTATCCTAATTTCGTTTGAAAAATTTGATTTTTCCTCCAAAGCAGAGAGGAAATAAATACAATAAATTTCATCAAATAATCAACTGTAATGAAACAGGTCCCAGCTCAAAATGAAATAGAACACATTTTGGCTAAGTAAGGTGTAAACAAAAATAAATTATGCACACACACAGTTAAATATCTAGTATCATCAACATCTACAATGCACATAAATCACACATACTAAGAATTAGTAACTATTTCACAAAATGTGTATACATATTTATAATTGTACATTTATATGTATATATATATACAAGCATACTAGCACAGACAAAAAGATACTTTAACATATGTTACACAAATTCTCTGGAGCTTCTAACCAATCTACACCAGTTGTTACTGATTTACATTCTGATAATCCTAAACACTATTTCCTTTATGAGGTATTCTATGCACAAGAATATAAGTTAAGATTAAAACTTTGAAAATACTTTTTGTTTCCTATCCATTCAACACTTTTTACCACCTCGTGGTTTGATTGCTTCTGAAATTTGCCACATTGATTCTTCACACAAATAGTTGTCAAACCTGTTGAAAAAGGCAATAACTTGGTCATTCTTCTTGAAAGGATAATGAGCATTCCTAAATCGTCTCATATTCTCCAGTATGTTGAATTGCTGCCAGCGCTTGGAGAAGTTAACGTTCCCATCAGGAAGAAAATCACTGTTCCCAATATGGACAAAGGTCAAGTCCTGCAAAATCAGACCAATGTATGGGATGCATGGAGGATCTGTGTCTGCTAGCGCTTGACGATAAGCTCGGAAAGAGGAAGAACTGTCAATCAATGCACAGTATTCCTTCAGACCTTCTGTAATGTTTTTTTGCCACTCTAAACGGCGTATGGGTGCAGAATCAAGTGCTGAAAGTACTGCTAAGTATGAATTAAAGTTGTTCAGTTTACGCAGATGTTTCAGGATTTTTATGAAACGGGTAACATATTTCTCCCTATCGCGAGCATCATTTTGTTCTAAAATGCGTGACCTTACCCAATAGGACATTTTGTTGAAATGCTCAGTAAATGACGTCAAATTAGGACTTAAATCTTCTTTTTGTTCTTTGACCCATAGTAATACTTCTGGAATCTCAATTTTTTGAAAAAGTTCAGCATCCAGTAATGTCATCTGTTCTGCCAAGACTTCGGACTTAAAATCCAGCAACACTGCCTGACAAGTGTTTACATTTAAAGAAGTAAGGAGGATTTGCAAGCTTTGCTGGGAAAAACGATGTGCCTCACACTTTTCAACTACCTTTTTCCGAAGAACTTTGGCAAATGTTAATTCTCCACTGCTTATCAACTGATAAATAAAATCTAAAAGTTTATGAAAAACACCATCTTCAATATCACTCACACACAAGTCATCAGCAACACGCACTAAGAGAGAAAACACATTTCTAGCAGCTCGCTGTTTTGCATCAGTCATATGAATAAATTTATTGAACCTGTATAAAAGCTTATTGATCAACTCCATGGGAGAAAGAATTGTGCGATAAGTTGTAAGAAAAGCTTCCTGATAAAGGAAGTCTTTTTTACCTGCTTTTGTAGCCTGAACAATGAGAGCATCTATACAACCACCTCGTATATCTGCACCTTCTTCATTTGGTTTCTTCCATATCAAATATTGAGTAACTTCCAATTCATCAAGAGGACTACTCTCACTTTCTTTTACACTTGGTGTTGGTGATTTTGTCTTTCCACTCTCTTTTTCTACTGGAGATTCCGGTTTATTCTCCAGTTTTTGGGAAACATTTCCAGTTTCTCGAGTTGAAGCATGTGGCTGAATGCTTTTTCTTCGTGATGGCACCTTACTTTTTTTTGGAGGCAAAGCAGGTGGTGTAGTAGCAGGAGAAGCCAGTTGTTCTTCATCCCCAAAGCTTCTTTCTAAGCTGCTTAGACTGCTATGGCCATCTGATATCACAGAATCCTCAGAACTGGAGACTCTTGCAGTTATGAAGGACTGTGGTTGAGAAAGAGTGAAATTTTGTTGTTGCCAACGTGTCTCCATTGCCTGTAACATATATTGAGAGTGACATAAGATATCTCCTTCGACTGGCTGGTAAGACAGTGTTTGCATGTATGCCATTATGTTCTTTTTTTTCAAAGGGAGTGGTGGTGGATCACCTGCCTCTGATACATGTTTTGTGCTATGAAATGGGCAAGATGGATCATGACTAACATCTATCCAGTTTTGATGGTCCAAAATTGGCTGAGGACTATGACCCCGAGAACACACTGAGGTGCTCATAGTAGCAAAACCATTTGTATCTGCCAGTAAAAAATTACACGTCGGCACATTGTCATACTGTGATGGCCTACGAATCCTAGTAGTTGTTCTCTGTTTGGCTGGAAGGGCAGGAGGGTGTTCGGGATCATTATTTCCTGATCCAATATCTGATGATATTACTAGAATATTCTGCTTATTTTCTGTTAATGTATGGGTAACACATTGTTCCATCTGTCCTCCCAAATTTGATGATACTGGGGATCTAATAGTTGTTGAAAGATTTCTGTAGCTTTCACTACGAGACAATTCCATCTGATGAAGACTCACTTCTTGTGCCTTCTGATGAAAAACAAAACTTTTTTGTATGTTCATTGTTTGTAAGTCATCAGTTGAGTAGTCTAAGTTTGAATCTATGCTACTCCCCAAAGATTTACTGACAGGTGTTGAAGAAAAGAAATCATATGGACTGTTCCAGTGAGGAAAACTTACAGGTGCAGCTTCAGTTCTAACTGCAGTTGAAGCAATAAGTGGAGAAGCACTACCAGAAGTGTAACCCCAAGAATTTTGTCCATCATATGGACTTTTAGAAGAGTCTCCAACATCAGATTGAGAGCTAGTCATGGGACCATTTACGTTGCGTTTTTTTGGAGGAATTGGTGGTGCTGGTTCCAAGTGTCCTGTATTAAACAAATAGTACAAGTTTAAATCTTTTTTTGAAGGGAGAGGTGGCTTAGGAGGCGGGATGTCTTCTTTCACTTGGTGAGAACAGGAATTTAATATGCTATCAGATGATGTTGAATGGTGACGCCCTTTGGTTTCTAAAGGTGGCTTTTTTTGATGTAATTCTGCAAATTTGGTTTTTTCTAAAATCTCCAATTCTCGAGGTGTTAAGGGAATATCTGGTAAAGAACTTCTGTGAGGGCTGTCTGGTTTTGTTGTAATTGAATCTTGTAAAGATCCTGTCAAACCAGGACTCAACTTATCTTTGTTTTTAAGTTTATTCATATAGAGTTGCACCAGAGCTTCAACAGCATCTTGTAATTGCTGAATAATTTCATTAACATTACCTACAGTAAGACAAGAACTATTACTAAAGTGTAAAGCATTATCAGACCACTTGATCAAATTTGCCAGTGTTTGATAAACCTGATTGAATGAAGATAAAACTACTGAGCTCTGATCATCATTAAGCACCCTCTTCAGTGAAGACTGAATGTTAAAAACTGTTTCTAACACCAAGCTGGCACAACCTGGCAAAACTTCTACAGTTTTTTCTTTTTCCACAACTTCTTGGATGTATCGTAAAGCATTTTTTAAATCTGTGACATCAGTGTTTAAATCTTCTATTTCATTTCCTGTTCTACTTTTTCCAACTTCTTCTGTCTCTGAATCTCCTTCTACTCCCTTTTCCTTCAATTTCGAAGTTTTTCCAGGTGATAATGGGCCCCGTTTTTGTGCAATTTTACCAATAATATCCTCTTTAAACGAGCGAGCTCGTTTTGCTAACTTTCCTCCTCGAGGCCAAGATGAATCTGCCTTTTCTCCTTTAGCAGACATATTTCCCTTATTATTTAAATAACTTATGTCATGAACCTGAAGAGGTGACACAACATGAAAAAAAAGAAATAAGCACTCTTCTTACTATTCTTAAAAAGCTGCTTGATCAAAACTGGTTTTGAATTCTCCAAGTACATAATTTATGTAGTTCCACAAACATTCAGTATAAGCACTACAGCATCATAATACTTATGTTTTCCTTGTAATACAAAAGTTCACTTACGCTTATATTTCAATAGATTTTGATCTAAAGTAAAATACTTCGTACATGAAGAACTCTTCTTGTTGGTATTCCATTTCTCCAAGAAGGTTATGATTTATAAATATAATATTAAATACGTATGACGATAGTATAAACTTATCATACTCATAGGATTTTAACGTCAAACAATGCTTGGAAAACAGGATACTCGGCACTTGTTTAACTTATCCAAGTACTTGTAGTACTATTACTACTAGTTCACATTTTAAAACTTAATTCTGACCTTGTTAAGACTAAATAGTCTGACTGCATTACTCATGTCCATACAAAACGGAGCAGTCACCGAAAACACAGTATTTCATGCCTTATAATCATTTGTTTCACAACAGAATCACTGTTTTATAATAAACTTAAATGTAACATAAATTTTACACACAAAAAAGGTCACAGAAAGTACAAAATAGATAGCCAGTTACATTATCAATAAAATTGTTCAATCGGTTCACTAGACAACTCAAATCGCATCTTTAACTAAGTCGACCTGTGCGTCCTCTATGGCAATAAACCACATTAATTTTCAGCTATATTTCCGGTAAAGCACTTCCGCATTCATCTTAGTAGCGTTTCGAGTGACACATGTACTTAAGTTAAAGGCAGTTTATAAGCTCAAATAAAGCTTTATTGCTTACCAAGATTTTGTTCTAAAGGATTATTATTAATGCCTTTAAATTTTCATTGAAGGTAAGAATCAGAAAACGCTTTGTTCAAGCGTTGTTTAATTATTTATTAAGAAGTATGTCGAATCGAGTACTAAAAAAGCTGCAAGGGGAGAAGGATCTAGTGTCTACCCTAGGTATTGACGGATTAACTGATTCAGACGACGCGAGTGCAAGTCAAGCAACCGCAGAAGGGGGTGCAAGAAGTAAGAGACAGAGACCAACAAATCGATTCGAATTGGTATGAAGAACCATTTTCTAAACATTTATAGAAATTACAGTTCAACAAACTCATTAAGCTTGTCAACATGTTTGAAACAGTACAAATTTGGGTTACAAGAATAATATTTGGTTTAAGAAGTTGGAACTAGGAGGAGAGGATTAAAAAAAAACTTGTTTCATATAATCTGGTGTGAAACTGATGTAAATGTGATTTGATCAATTATTAAACATTCTAGAAACCACCGTTAGATTGTGTATTGGTAGCCTGTTACTGCTAGAATGGTGGAGTGAAAGTTGGAAATATAAATTTGGGTATACTCGGGTAGAAATTTAAATTTCGTATTCCTAGATACAGTCTTGTTGTGTAGGAAAACTTTTTTTTGTTTGTTAAGAGTTACGGAAATTTTCCCTTGATGATGTCATTTGTGCTGCTTGTCTGTGGACCTAATGAATGTTTTAACATTGTTTTTTCTTGCCACCTTAAACTTGTAGAATGATTTACACAATTAAAAATTTTTTGCTATTAGTTTAAATTATCTTTTACTTCTATGATAGGTATGTAGATGTGCAAGACTACATTTAATTAGATATTGATGCTTTGGGTGATTGGTCTTGTTGGATGAAGGGTTGAAACTTGAATAACCTTATCTCGCATAGTCTTTTCTGATATTCTAATTTCTCATTCTACAAATCAGTCATGTGAAGTAAATCATAGTTGTGCTCTAGAACAAATTTGAAGTTATGAGCTCCTAAAGCTCATAACTATGATGTGTAACATTTAGTTAAAAGTTTTTTGAAGTCCATAATAAGCCACATGCATGACTGAATCAAATATCCCTTTTACATAATTTGCCTATATTCCAAAGAAAACAATTTCAAGTGCCTAATCTGCTATTATAGCTCATGATCTTTAAACCAGAACTTATTTAGCAGCACTTCTATACCTTTTTCCAACCAATCAACATCCTTGTGAAGTAAAATTATGCTCAATATTTCAAATTATTATATCCCTTTTTTTTTCTCACCACAACCACTTAGGAGAAAAAAAATAATGAAAAAATAAACCACACTTTTGAATCAAAATATTAGCTCAAACTTAGAAGAAGCTTATAAAATACATTTGTGATCAGTCTTAGACTTGAGTGTTAGGTATCATTTAAAAAATCAACGTGGAGACTAAATCTTAATAAACAGCATTCAGCTTAGTTTTAGAATGGGAGGGGTGTATAGTTTTTGACTCAATAAGTTGAAGTTATATGTTGGTTAAGACTTCTGACGAAGGTGTCTGAATACAATTATACTTGTCATAAGACATTAGTGTTAGGCCTATTACATTACTATTACTATTAGTCCATTAGGGATTTTCAAAAATTAGAAGAGTATATAATAAAAGTATTCCCTCCACATTATTTGTCATATTCATTGCCAGTGACTCATTTTGTTTAATCCAGAGCACTTTAGGCCAGCTGTGATACAACAAACAAAGCATAGCAAGGTGTTTGAATTTTTTTTTTTCTGAATTTCAGAAAGCTTTAGATAAGGTTTCATAAAAATGTTTATTATTGTATAATCAAATGATATTGATAACAATGTACTAGTGAACTTTGCCGATGTCATTAACTAAATGTACATGAGCTCAGTCCATTGGATTGACCCTATATTGAAGAAGGAATATTGACTATAATTCCAAATTTACTACATTTATCTACATGGAATATTACAAACTTTGAATAAAATGTACAAGTCTGTTGTGCACAAAAATTAGATGTGTTACAAAAGTAATTGTACTCAAAATATGTCTGTGAATCAACACCACCAATCTGATTGAGACTGACAAGTGAAAGTGCAAGATGATGTTCATATGAAGCTTATAAATACTTTTGTCCATCGTACAGTTTGCATTTGCATAATCTCTAGAACCTTCAAAATGCATATCTGCCGTTTTTTCAGCATTCTTACATACTATTTCAGGTATTTACTCCACCACAAATTGGCATTAAACAGATAATAATTCTGACATCAGATATATAATACCATGTTGAATGGCACACTGGGAAAGGTCATGGTATGCAACTTTGAACCCCACCTGTAAGCATAGGGTTAAGCTCTTTGGTATTTCTAACTGTAATTAGTATTTTGAGGTAATACAAAATGTCTTGGATCAAATGGTTAATTGGGCAGTTATTTGACAAATAACATTCATCATGGTAATTGTAAGATAATTCATTTGGGTTATCATAATTTGGATCACATGCTTAATATAGATGGGGAGTGCATTCAGTAGTGTTAACTGAAGAAAAGGATCTTGACTTAGTGGTGGATCATATGGCCTTTTATTGTTTCTATTATGTTTTTAATATGTAATATATAAGAATTGAGCTGACTGATATTTAAGTCTATCCAGATTTTGCATCAGGTATATCAGATAAAGATTCAGACTACAGATAATTTGCTTAAAATTATTGATTATTGCCTTAAACTTTTGTTTTATTTGAGCAATTGCATACATCTTGATGCAAAAAAATGAAAGATAAGTTAGCCTAAGTTTAGAAGTGCTTATTCCAATATTAGGAATTGTTTCTCAGATATGCAAATATTTTTAATGGGGTTATCTGATTTAATACACAAAACTATTTTTAGAAATTCTTTTGTAGGCACTTTATGCAAACATATTTTTTAAGAATTAAGACAAAAGCATAATTTGAAACAGAAAATGGGTTTGTAAACTGTATTGTGAACAAAAGATAATATTACAGAATAAAAACATGTACCATATCATTTAATATATTTAAAAAAATTTAGGGTTTAAAAAATAAACAGTACACTCTTCATGCCAATTTATACGAGATTGATGATTGATAATTATATACCAAAAATTGTTGTGGAATTAAAGTTAATTCAGCCAGATGTGCTTTATTTTACTAGTTATTAGATTGGGAATCTTGATATAGTCTGAAGCCTTTAGGAAAAATTAAACTAGATAAAAGTGTGAAGATATCTTGAATTTGGAGTAAAAGAGATTTTCCATCACGTGTTCTGGTTTTAAATTCATTGAGGTTCAAATAATTGTCATAAGTGTAATATACAATTGTAGGTTGTCATGCATTTTCTTTTATAACTTAATAGACACATTTTTTAGAATAACATTTCTGAAGATATATATGTATATACCTTCAAAATTTTGACTTGTTTTATTTATTTTCTGTTGTAACAAATTATCTGAAATCATTTGAAATGTTGAAATTTTGGTTCATAAAGCCAGAAGCTCTAAATGCCCGGCTGCTTGTAATTCAATAACAGCATGTGGATAGGTTGTAAAAATTTATTGTAAATCTGGTGGGTCTTTTGGATATTTAGAATGGGGCTATTTAGTCTATCAGTTACCTATAAGTAACAATTACGTTGATTAATTTCTCATAAACTAATAGATTAATCGAGGATCGATTGTTACGAAAATAGTCAACTAATTGAAATTAGGATTTCCTTTTTTTTTTAATTATATCAACTATCCATGTAATTGAAATATTGCTATTATGTTTGTAATTTAGCACAAAGCTACATAATGAGGATGGGATATGCTTGATGATTTGAGGGTCTCAGGTTCAATTCCCTTGGCTACTAAAGTTGTATGCCCTGTTTTTATTATTGTAAAGCTACTAAGACTATCTAATTTTTAACTACTGACTAGAAGGAAGGTAACTGGCTGGTAGTGCCAACTGCCAACTTTTTGGAAACTTAAGTATTAAATAAAGTGTAAATTTACTGTTTTTTATATATTATATTATGTTTCTAATTTATAACTGCATAACTTTAATGTTATATAAGCATGCAAAGATCTATGGGGAGGGTCCAGGGAATCATCCCTCCAGCTTTTTCTTTTTTTTTCGGGAATTAATAACCATATTCCTTAATGTTATATAAACAAATATGTATCTAAGAGAAAAGGTGCAGAGGAGTTGAAACATATCCATTTTTTTTTTTTGAAATTAATAGCTGTATTTAGTGTTGTATAAGTTGGTGTAGATCAAGGGGGGGGGTCCAAGTCCTGCTATTTTTTATGTGTTAATAAAGAACAGCCAGACTTTCTTATACTACCATATAATGTTAAAAAAGAAATGTTATATGTAAATGTACAACAATATGAATGTCAATAAAATGTTTCCATCGTAAATTTTCCTGCCTTGGCTTTTTCCAGGTACTCTAACAATACTCTAACTGGACTTTAGAGATTTGTTTCATCAAAGTTTTGTTTAGGAAACCTACAGCTCTTATAAGTTAGACTTGTTACAGAATCAATTTTTCATTATTTAGAAATTAGAATTCTCTTCAGAAGGATTTTTTCATTTTGCTGATGTTTAAAACAAGTGAAAGTGCAAGTGGTATGACTGTACAAGTAATGACTTAAAAAAATTGAAACAGACATCCTGTTTACCACCGCTATAATTTTTTTTCTAAGTATGATTATAAATCGTTATAAATATCTAATTTTAATTTTAAAATTTAAAATGTTTGTTATTAACTATTTTTATATTCATATCAATCACCAGGGGTAGAAATAATGAAATAAAATTATGAATTGTTTTTTATTTAATCCATGCAATATGTTCTTTTTCATTGAACATAACTAAAGGAATACGGATGGACCATGCTTTCCCGATCGAGAAAGCCAACTAAAAGATGAAACTCCTCAAGCAAAGTTAAATTCATTGGGAATGTAGTATTTTGATCCCTGATCACATTACTAGAAATATAGATATAAACTTTGAAATTGCTGGATTATTAGCTGACTGAGCTAATCATTCACCAAATACGTTTATGTTATTTAAGCTTTGTCTTACTTAGATTACTTTAGGATTATATGGTCAACACTGATTAATACCAAATACTATATTATCATAGTGAAAAGTCTCTTTCATGTAAAAAAAATACAGAAAATTTGGTTAGTGTTACGCAGCTAACTTAAAAAATTAAATGGTTAAACATTGTTATTAGTTGTTAGCACAATAGTTTTATATTACCTGAATAGTCTTTCTAGTTTTAGTCTTATTAATTTCCTAATAGTTTTTATATTTTGTAAGATAGTTATAACTATCAAATTTTTTATTTTACAAAATCTATTGAAGTTAACCTAATTGTTATGTTGATTAATTTTAAATATAAGCTATTTCAAGAATTTAAAAAAATACTAGGTTTTTATTTTGGATAAGTATATGTTTGTCTAATAAATAAAATTAGTTATGGTTATTCATTTTCCTTGGTTGGTTACAAAGCATTTGAGTAACTGTAGTTATAGATATAACACTTCAGGCCCAAACATGTAAACAATCGTATGAGGATGTAAAACAATGTTTGGAAAAGTGTACATATTATTTTTGCAACAGGTGATTGGTAAGTGAATAAATCTTTCACTATTTCCAGATTTTAACAGTACAGTAGTCTTGGGTGTATGAAACCTTTTTATGTACAAAATTTAGGATTAAAGTCTGAAGAGAAGGGTTTTTTTTCTAGCTTTTCATATTTTTTTCCACATTTTATAAAAAAATTTTCAGACACAAATTTTAAAGTGAATTTTATATGTTACTTCTAACTATATTTCAATAATTTTAACCCCAAAACATATCAGAATTGACATTTTCTCATTTTCTGACATTTATGAAGCAAAATAAAAGTTCATATTTTCATTTCTGCAAAACAAAACATATGTCAATTTGTTTTTAGAATCTGTCTGCTTATCTTCAAGAATATTTTTACTTTTGCTAAGAATCTATGACCACTTTAGAATATATTATTCATTTCTTGATTTTCAAGCATTTCCATAGTTTTTGTATGAGCCTTGGTTGAAATTTTGTTACGGTGTCACATCTAGCGTTATGATCATTTACTAATGAAACATAAATTTGAAAATGGCCATAAAGAAAGTTTCCGTATGTTTTGATAGAGCAAGAATTAGCCTACCACATAGTAGACATATAGACTTAAGATTTTTTTTTTATAGTTTCTGTAAATGTTTCTTTCATTTGTAAATTGTGTAAATATCTGTGTATTAAATTATATCTGTGTGAAAGTTAGACATTTTCTTCAATAAAAAGACATAACTTGAGGTAAGGTAATCTTATACAAATTATAAACAGGTTGAGTGGATAAAGAAAACTTTATTTACAAGTTTAACAGGTAACAAATGTACAATTTTTGGAAAAGGTTTTGTCATCATCAGGAATATAGATGAAAAAAATTAGTCGCATGACTGGAGATTGCTGAAGGCTTGATGAGGTATCCTGTTCATGTTTGATTCTTTGTTTAAATATGGCATTTTTACTTTTAAATAGATATACTGTGGTTTTACTGAGTTGCAGTGTTTATAAACATGAGTTTGTTTTATTATATTCACCAAATAAAATTGTCAACAACACAGATAAGTTTAGTTAAATTTGCTGTTTAGTAAAAATGGTAGGTAACTGCAAAATATTCTGATTACTCAGGTCTTTTGTTTTAAATATTATCTTTGTATTTATCCCATTCAAACATTGTACATAAATAAACTGGCTATATACTTAATTCTAGGCGGAATAATATGTTGTTTATTTGTGATAGTAAAACATGTTTTCATTATTTAATTATCAGTTTTTTGCAAAATGCATAAATGGTGACTTTCAGGAAAGGTGTATCATGTGAAGCCACGGGTAATTTGAAAATTTCTTTAAAAAAATTAATGCTGTTTGGTACTTATGCACCTGTAGTTGAAAGCTGTATTTCATATTTGTTGTGATGTATAATTGAAAGCATTGTTTTTCAACCAGTGGTGCATGTTACACTTGTGATAGATGAAAATTTTGATATCGTAACCAGTACAATTTATTAAGACAAGGATGGCTTAAATATATTGAATATCTATTTATTTATCATCTCATTATTGAATAGCATCACTCAGAACTGAGATATGGTACAGAGTTAGTTTTGAATTATTCAACTAGTACACAGGTTGAAAGAGTTGTACCACTGGTTTGAAATATTAAACACTTGTTCATTGTTTGTGTTGTTGAACATGTGATATCCCAACAGTTGAGCTGTTTAGGTATCTAATCCTCTACTGTTGAACATATAGTTTCCAAATTTGAGTTGTGTAAGTATGTAATCCTCAGCTGATGAACATGGTATCCTAAGTTGAGCTGTATAGATACGTAATCATCTACTGATGAACATGGTATTTTAACAGTTGAGCTATATAAATATGTAATTCTCAACTGATAAACATGGTACCCTTAGTTGAGCTGTATAGATTCATAATCCTCAACTGATAAACATATGGTATTTTAACAGTTTAACTGTATAAATATGTAATTATCAACTGATAAACATGGTATCCTTAGTTGAGCTGTATAGATTCATAATCCTCAACTGATAAACATATGGCATTTTAACAGTTTAACTGTATAAATATGTAATTCCCAACTGATAAACATGGTATCCTTAGTTGAGCTGTATAGATTCATAATCCTCAACTGATAAACATATGGTATTTTAACAGTTTAACTGTATAAATACATAATTCTCAGCTGATGAATATATGGTATTTTAACAGTTTAGCTGTATAAATATGTAATCCTTTACTGATGAATATAAAAAATTCAACTTTTCATATTAAAATTCTCTAGTTTTGTGCATATTTGAAAATTTAACATCCGAACATGTTAATCATAATATTATGTAACTCTACATTTTCAAGAGTTGAAATATACATATAAGAAAATACCTTATTTTTGTATATAATGGAACAATGTTGAATATTTGGTATCCAGTAACTAAAGTCTGCTCAGCATGTTTTTACAAGTGATTATGTATGTGCCACTTAACAGTATTATGAATTGTTGTTTTATAGTTTAAAATGTTGAACACTTTTTAGCTCGCAGTTAATTACCATTTTTTATATAGTTAAACAGTGTGGAGCACTCTTTATCTGACACTGAAGCAAAAGAAGATGATGATAGAGAAAATGAACCCTCTGGTGACCAGGAGAGAAATAAACTGGAAAAGCAAGACTCAACTCAGAGCACAGATAGTCTTAAGCGGAAGAAGAAGAAAAAGAAGAAGAAAATGAAAAATCAGAAAAGTACAGAAGATAACTTGGATGATGCAGTTAGTGCTCAAAAAATATTGAAACATGCTATTATTATTGATGCATAAAGTTTCGTATTGTAATCTCTCGCTTCATTACAAACATTACAAGTGTTAATAAACAGAAACACTAGTAGCTTATACTGTTAAGCACCAAATATCAGGAGCATGCAACTGATGGGTGTGTGATCTTAAGCTGAATACACATACTCCTAACTATGTTCTTTCCAATTGAAAAAAAGCTCTATTAGTGTTATTAGATTACTTGAAAAGACTAAAAAAAGAATAAAGCTTGAACATTTTAAAATTATCTTTTGATATTGGCACAAAATGCTTTAATTCCTCATTTATTTTCTATTTTTCTGTTAACTCCCAACTTTATGTAAAGCGACTAACAAAAAAATGTGATGAGTGGCTACTTTATTGGGATCTGTTTAATACATATTTATAGAACATTCCATAAGCTAAGCAGACTAACCACATGATATGTCAAGTTATTGCCTGAGCCCAGTAAATACAAGGATGTAGTTTCAATTAGTCAGAAGGACTGTATGTAAGAGCAAGGATATCCTGACTTCCATAATAATAGTAAATGTTTTAGAAGGCTGACACATTTGAATGGACTTGTAAAGTACAAGAGACATCAGTTGTGTTTCAGTTAAAAGTTCCTCACAGTGGTCAGGATTCTACTACTATCTTTATATTATTGCAAATAACATTACAAAACTGTCATATGCCAACACTTACCTCAGATGAAAATAGGAACATGCCAATTCATTGGTGCTTATAATAAAAACTATGGACAGCATTTGATTGGATGCTTGTGATGTGGCCTGATGAGTGAGCCTGTTTCATTTTTTTCTGTTCTGATGTAAAAAAAATGAAGAAAATTACATGAAGCATGTGACTCTGCTTGTGTCATTCTGGACAATTAAGCTGCTGGAAAAGGTGTAATGGTGTGGATAATTTTCTCATGGCAAGGTTTTTTAACCTTGATTCATGTATAAGATCAAATAGCAACCAAAGTGTACTTGAACATTATTACAATACTTGTTCATTCTACAATACTGCATTTTCACTCTGATTAACAAGTGCTGTTGTACAACTATTCACCATGGTCTTGAAGAACATGATTGTGACTAATATTTTTTTTTTTTGATAACACAATCAACAGATGTCAAACTGATTGAGCAACTTTAAGATGAAAAACATTCTAATGCCATAATCCTTTGTATACACCTGTGAACCATTTGCATACCATAGTCCTTGGTGAATCAGCTACATTTGAATAACATACCTTCTAGCACATTATGTAGTCTTACCATGCTGTTTTTAAATTTTTTTCACACTTGGATACCTTAAAAAAGAAGTTAATTGGTATACAGAAAAAAACACGTAAGCCACTCAAAGACATTTTATCAGGGTAAAGTTTATAAATTGTCAAACACATTTTACTTCATTTGTCAATTTTTAACCATTTTATTAATACAAATGTACATCTACTATTGTTATATTTTCAAAATTTCATGACCATTTGATTACTATTTCTCTAGGAAGATGAAATTGATGCAAGTATTCGGGAGGTAAATAAAATACTTGGGGAGCCAGAACAAGCTGCCATCACATGTTTAGTTTCTACTGGAGAGAAATCACCTCATGAGAAAAGTATTCTTTCTGTAGACTATAGGAACTTGAATCCTGAGAATGAATTGAAGAAAATATTTGGTTCAAAAGTTATACAAGCTGAGCAGGTGTAAGTAGCACATTTAATGTCATACAGGTAGGATATGCTGACATAATTTTCATTTGGTTAAAAAGTTAAACAAAAAATACAAATAGTATTTTGTATAGTTGCTGTATTCCTCAAAATATACAGTGTTAATTGTTAAATATGTTGGCACTTGTGATAAGTTGCAATGTCTAAAACTCCAAATATTTTTTTATTTTTATTATCCAAAGAAAAATCTTCAATGTTGAAATATAATAATATTTTTATGAAATCTGAATTTTTTTCTTTTTATTAGGTCCTCAAGAAATTAATGTTGTTTTTTTTAGATGAAAAAACCTGAACAACTTATATATCAAAACAAAACATCTATTAAATGAAATAGTCTCCATTCTTATGGATGATGCTTTTCCATCTTACAATCAGGTTGTTAATGCTCTGATTAGAGAAATGTGGATGCAAAAAACATGTGGATGTCCTCTGTAACACCTTCCACATTTGCATATGTTTTCCCATTAAGATGGTGTTGCAGTGAACGAAAAAGATGGTAATCTGATGATGCCTTATCTGGAGAATATGGGGGAGAACTTTCAAACCCAACTCCATAATCTTGTGTTGCGTCAAACGTGCCACATGTGGATGTGCATTATCGT